GTGCAACATTCATAAATTTTATTTTAGAAAATATTTTTGTCCTGATTTACATGCGTTTATCTAGTACATAGAGGTGATTGTATAATAGCTTAAAATAATGTCTGACTCTTGTATATTGTGGGGGGAGGGGGCATGGGTGGGTGGGTATAGGTTTGTGAGGGGCTGTGGGTGTGTGGGTATGTAGAAGAAGGGTGTGAGTGTGGTTTGTGGGGGGTTGGATAAGCATGAGGTGTGTGGGTGTATGTGGGGTGGGGGAGCATGTGTGTGTTGATATATGAGGTATGGGTGAGTATAGGGTTTGTGGAGGCTATGAATGTATGGGGGGAGGGTGGCTGGGGAGGGTTGTGTCGTGTAGAGGGAGAGGGTTTGCCTACAGTGCCCCCCACCCCCCGTGGCAAGCAGAGCCCCCACCACTGCTCCTGCCAGCCTGAGCTCTGTATTCCTGCTGCTCCTGGCCCTGGGGCACTGACATAGTTCCGTACTCCCACTCGCAGCCACATCCCTCTCCATCTGCCACCGCTGCCCTTCTGCCACTTCCTTGTCCCTCCCCCACCACTCAACACTCCAGCACCACATCCCAGCTGCATGGCCAAGACTGCAGGATGCAGCAGGAGTTGGACCGGCCTAGCCAGCACCACATGAAGCCAGCTGAGAATTGCAAGGGCCAGGCCAGTTCCTGCTGAGTCCTGCAGCCTGGCCACATGGTGCTGAAGTGATGGGCGGGGGGTAGAGGGGAGTGGTAGCAGCAGCAGGCAAATGACTGCAGCAGGTGGGGGGAGTGGAAGTGAGCGGGCTTGTGGAGCACAGTGACAGCTGGGTGGGAGTGCAGGGCTGCGTCGGGGCCAGTGTCAGCGGGGCCCAGAGAGGGGCAGTGGGAGTGTGGGTTGTGGGCCAGCAGGGGCTCTTTGGAGCTGGGCTGGGCTGTGCCAGGGAGAGGGGGGAGCCAGCCCAGCCCCAGGGCCGCTGCCAGCCTGGGGCCCATGCTCCTGGCTGCCCTGCTCTGGGCCCCTGTTGGCTCTGGCTCCAGTACTGGCACGGGCCCCACACTGCCGCCCAGCTATCACTGCGCTCCGTGTGCCCACTTACTGCCCCTTTCCCCCTGCCTGCCACCACTTTCATCACTTCCCTGCCTATGGCTACGACTGCTCCTCTCCACCCCTCCCTCCCCCCACCCCTGCCCGCTGCTCTAGCACCATGTGGTTCTCGGTTGCAGTGCTGGGACCACAGCAGCCAGTTTGACCCTGAGGACTGGGGCGATCACCCATGGTCTTCCCCTGCTTCCCCCCCACCCCCTTCTTATCTGGTAGAGGGAGGCAGGAACAGCCTTAGTGTCCCAGGCCAGAAGCCTCTGTTAGGCACGGGCTTCTGGCTGGGCAAGGGGGTTGGGGGTGTGGGGAGAAGGGGTCTGGCAGGCCTTGCTGCCATGGCTGGGTCCTGCCATCCCCCCCGCCCCAGGTCCTACTGTCACTGCCTCCTATCATCTTTGACAGGCAGCCAGGGGCAGATAAATACTAATTTTCAAAAATCTATAGGGGCCCCATGGGCCAGATAGAAAGGCCTGGCATGCTGGATTTGGCCCATGGGCTGCACTTTGCCCTCCCCTGTGATATGGGACAGAACCAACAATTAAATTACTTCTTAGAATCCCTTTTCTATTATTCTGTGTCAGTCATGGTGCTCTACTTAAAAGTTCCCCTCATTTTACAATGTAGCAGAGAACGCATCTTTCTGTTGCTTTGTTTCTAAGTTAATTTACGTCTGTGGCTATCTGTGATGATCTATTAATCTGGTGCTGCCAATGCCCCAGACTAATGCAAGGATGTGCCTTGTGGAAAAGTGAATTAATCTTTCACTGTTAGGCACTAATGGCTGAATGTGAGCACTAATGGCACTTTTACCACATTTACACATAGCTGTGTAGACGTGTGTGGGTGTTTGGTTCCCCAGGGACAAGTAGCGGCAGCCGATGCTTGTCCCCAGGAATGCCTATGCCATGTGCTCTTTGGTATGCAACAAGTTACCCTGGGTGGGGCAGGGGAGGCTGGGGCCAGCACAGGGCTGACCCTAGCAGCCTTACCTGGGGTCCTGGGGGCCTCCCAGGGCTGCAGCAGCAGCAATTCTGCCTCACAGAGCCTGGTCAAAAAAAAATACGTGGAAAAAAAAGTGGGCAGCACATGTGGCTCAAAAGTGGAGCTGAGCCTCTCGGAGCCATGCTCTGGCTGCCAGCCAGGCTCTGCATAGCAGCATCGTCACTGCTGCAGCCTATGTGTAAATGTGGTAAAAGTGTTGTTAGTGCTCACATTCAGTCATTAGTACCTAACAGTGAAAGATGAATTTACTTCTCCACAAGGCACATCCTTGCATTAGTTTGGGGTATTGCCAGCACCAAATTAATGCATTGCCACAGACAGCCCACGGACTTAAAATAACTTAGAAACAGCATGTCCTTGCAGTGTGGAGAACATCTAAATGTGTGGTATGTGACACTGAAGACCTGTTTGTGGTACCACATGCCGCATGGTCATGGTCATCTGGATGTGGCTATAGTAAGCAAAAGCAGACCTAGGAGTCCTAGACTACCCTTTACAAAGTACAGCAGAAACAATTGATGCTAGCTGGAAAGGGGCAAATATGTGGACAGGAAAGTCAGTCCTGTTGCAGGTTCCTACTTATTGTGTGTGGAAGGGGATTTGTGAGCAGTGAGGAGGGGGGACAGTTCCACAGTAGGAATGGGGATTCTTTTCCCTGAAGATATGTGGGTTTAGCACGTCAGATAACACAGCTTCACTGTTTCCCCTTAACTTCTCACATACAATAGTGTTTCAAGAGAGCTTTACAAAGTGTAGTTTCAGTTTTCCTAAGCCCTTTCCCACAAGTATGTTCCTCAGAGAGTGCAACCTGTTCCTCAAACGGTCAGTATAATATTGCTGGCTGAACTCAAAAATTGATGCTATTTGTAGAAATTTAACAGTACGTACATGGTTGTTTTATAAAGGATTGCTACACATTGTTAAAAGCTGCTATGTTTCACCTTAGAGGTAGAGTCTACAATTCCTGAATGTAAGTGTTTGTAAAGTGCTAAGGGAAGCTTTTGAAGGAAAATTACTATTATTATCAGCGATTCTTACTACTGCTAATCTTGTATGGCAGGAAGGTGCATTCCAAATCCCTGACGGGTCTGAAGCTGTTGCTGTTCCTCCAGAACTGAATGATACACAGACCTCTCAAGGTAACCAAAGAAGAGCTTTTCTAAGAAATCAAAATGATCCAAACCAAAGACTTGAACACCAAAACTGGTTTAACAGTGAGAGCATTTATCACCATTTAGTTATTGCTAGACTCAGCGATGGAGTGACAGAGCACTGTAGCAAGGAAGTGCCAGAGGTGCCCTAATTTGCATCATGGGAAGTCTCTATAGTGTGTAAATATTGCTATGGTATATAGCTCACCAGAGCACAATATCATTATTCCCTTTACCTAAATCCAGTGTCAGCAAGGGATCTGCCTCAATTGGTGCAGAAGGTGGCTTGACTATAACTATGGGCCAGGAAAAGCTCTATTTATAATGGCTTTAGAAAACCCTGGTTGCAGTTGGTTGTGAGTGGGTTTCAACCTTACTTTCCTAATCATCATTAATCATGGTTTATTCTGGTGTATATTAACAGTTAAACTAAGCTGTGCTCCTTTCCAACAGTCATTCATCATTAAGTAATTTTTCTTTAACCTGCCACTATTATGCACATCATAGTGGGTGTGTCTACACATGCAATTAGTGCACATGAATAAACTCTGGAGCTTATTCTTCCTCAGTTTTTGCTCCCAGGCACGCCATTTGCAGGGCAGAGCTGCCAGCACCAGGTGAGTTCTATGGGAGGGGCCACAGCCGTTTTGCCCAGCCCTGCGGGGCCCACTAAAGCGCAGGGCCCAGGGCAGTCACCCTGATTCACCGTACCTTAGGGACGGCCCAACTGTAACACAGGTCTGTTTTCTGCAGTTAGATGGACATGTGTTGCAAATTGGTCCCAAGACGTGGTAGCAAGGATTGTGCAAAAGGGCTCCTAGATTATATGAATTTGTAGCCAGTTAGAGGTGCTGAAAGCAGTAGAAAACCCTGATCAATAGGTTCTGTTTGTTCTCCAAGCAAAATACATGTTTTACTTGTTTAAAAAGCTAAACTGAAACAGTGGGGTTAAGGAAACAGTAGAAGTTTTGAGAGAGATTAAATCTGCAGCAAAAAGTGAAACCTCACCTGGTTTGCGAATGTGAAAGTTCAATGGAAAAAGCAAGCTAACTCTTCAAAATGATAGAGACTATGTAGAAAACATTCCTTGGAAGTGATGAAAAAAATGTTGACTCCCATGAAACCATACTTCAGTGGGCTAATTATTTTTCTCAGACTTTCTCATAATCTATCAGTCTACCTGAAACCTCTGAAAATAATAACTTTGTTTCATCTAAGGTCATGCTGGCCTACAGTGAGACGACCAGAGATAAATGGAAAAGAATGGTAGTGAACACATGAGGTTAAATATTGGAGTCTTTATACAAGCAAGCTGCTGTTGTTTCTCCTGGGCATTTTGCCCGGGTACAAACTGAGAAAGGGCCTCTAGATTTGGTTGCATAACGAGATCCAAGTGATGACAAAAGAATGCAGGAAAGCTATATATGAAGCAATTTGGATATATTACATGACAGTTTAACCTGTATTAGTCCTGGAAAATCTCCCAAAAAGAACCTGTAATCAATTTGTTATTTCTTTTTAAAATCCAGTTTGTAACCCTGCATTATCAAATGTGTTGCTTGGTCACTGCAATGATTTGCAAAGAACCGTTTAAACTTCAGAATGAATGTAAGCTTAGTATTACAAGTGCCATGTTAAAGAAACATGCAACTTCTACATGCAAGTGCCAGGGTTTCTAAGGCAGTTGAGTTAAAAGAATATTATGAACCTTTCCTTCCCACATTGTTGTACAAGGAACAAGGTGTCATACAATGAAGAAATTTGCTAGCTTGGTTAGGCACTTGAGGTGAAATGATTTCATGTGCATTGACAGGGGCAGAAAAATCCATATAGATCTGGCTGGTTCACAGTGTTTGCTTCCATTGGGGTTTCCTGGCAAGGAAAAGGTCAGAGTGATTTGGGGATTTCCCAGTTCAGGGTAGTCACCAGCAAGTCTGTGATCCTTCAGCAAGAACTATGGAGAGAAGATAGGATGGGGAGCCCCACCTACCTTCCCACAGCAGGTGACAACAAGAGCATGCAGCAAGATTTCCAGTGCCAGCTAAGATGTATTGTCCCACAGAACCCAAGGCTGCTGTCATCAGAGTATCCCAGGGTTACCCATTGCTTGCAGTGGAAGCAGACTTCAGCCCTTTATTGTTAGCTAATAGTACTGGGCACTTTCTCTACATCCTCATGTATTGCACAGTCCTAGAAGCAAACGTACCTCTAACATCATCCTGCTTTTAGCTGCTGCAATCTGTTTATATCAACATTTGGACTGATGGAAGGTTTTGTACAGCTATTTATCATAAGGTCATAAGACCAAATTACTCTGTTTTTTTGCATACCACACACATCTGTCCCCACCTCGTCCCCCCCCCCGGCCCCCCCGGCCCCAAAGTGGGGCTGAGTGTATTAAGTCCACAAGTTGAATCATTCTGCTTTTATTTCCTCTCTACTGGTCACCTCTACATGTCACCCTATGTTTCCATGGCAACATGGTACATCGCCATATGAGGTGCTACAGTGATGTAGTGATCACATGAGTCTACATGTGCCAGCAGCTACTTCACTGTAGTAGCGCTCTCCCCCATTCTAATGTGCCGCTACAGCAAAGTAACGGCTTAAACTAACCATGTGCTGCATACACAGCGCAGTACAGGTGGTTACTGCACCATGCTCTAGTACTTCCAAAAGGTTGGAAGTACTAAGGCATGGCATAGTAAGAAAGTTGCCGTAGGGCAATGTGTAGATGCACCCACAGTGTAGCAGCTGTAATATTATTATTCAGACAGCTGAGAGAGTCAATTGATTTTTCCACTCCATAGGTGTTAATGACCTTGTCTCCTTGTTAATGGTCTTGAAGTTCCACTGATCATGTTAACCTTTCTTAGGACAGCTTTGCTGTCTGCTAGTTGCTCCTGGTGTCCACCTATTTCATAGCCTAAGCAGGAAAAGGAGAGTGAAACAGTTGAAGGTTAGGCTCTGTCCCTGCTCTATGCATCCATCACTCTGGAAGCCTTCATTTTACCTTTCAAAATCAAGGGGCATATTATGTGCCAGGGGCACATTATATGCAAGAAGATATGTCAACTCTAGCTTTGTTAGTAGAAAATCACCCAGAGCATCAACACTATTGCAGACTGTAGGACTGGACTGGCGTACTCAAATGTTGGTGGAACTGTATTGGCTTCAGCCCAGGTACAGTCATGATGGACATGGTTCTGTACTTTGCTCCATTTCCTGCCTCATTTCCTACTTCCTTGTCTACTATAGCTCATTGTTATTATTAACTCCAGGTTTTGGGCTTGGGTCCCACATTTTGACATTCTAGGTTGATAGCTGCCTTGTGATCCTTCTCATCATGTCCTGTTTATCTGGATTCGTAGGCTGAACTGAAGTAGCAGACAAGATACACTTAAATTCTGGGGGTGGAGGGGTAAGGGTTAGTGGAGGAGGTTACTAGCTAACATCTTTTAAAGTTATATTTGTTCTTGGTAATTTCAGTCACTGCTGTTTTTCTACTAGCCAGACAGTCATGAACTACCATTTTTTAGGTTCTGAAAAAGTGGTGATTTATATTAACACTGATCTTTGCTTCCACATAAACAAGAACATTTTGTTTCCATGTGAGGTACCAACTGCTGTCACAGATCATCGTGAAATTACCACTGAAAAAAAAATCCAGCTTCAACCTCTGTCAAATTCTCTGCAACATAATATGTTGTACCACTTGCTGTCACAATCATATGTTCTGTATTATTAGTAGCATATACTTCCATGCAGCAGGCTGTTGGGGGTTTGGTTACTTAGAACACCTGGGCCAAGGGTTAGTGAGGAACTAGTTAGGGAGCTTCTGGAGGGACTGGACGTATTCAAGTCAGCCGGTCCAGACGATCTCCACCCTAGAGTACTAAAGGATTGGCTGAGGTCATTGCAGGACCCCTGGCACAGCTTTATGAGCACTCATGGTGCTCTGGTGCGGTGCCAGAGGACTGGAAGAGGGCCAACGTGGTTCCCATCTTCAAAAAGGGGAAGGAGGACCTGGGAAACTATAGGCCTTACTTGATCCTAGGCAAGCTGTTCAAGAAAATTATGCTGGCACACATCCATGAGGGGCCAGCAGGGGATTTCATGCTTAGGGGCAACCAACATTGGTTCATCAGTGGCAGGTCCTGTCAGACCAACCTGGTGGCCTTCTATGAGCAGATCACCAAATCATTAGATGCAGGGGTAGCAGTGGACATAGTCTTCCTGGACTTCCGGAAGGCCTTCGACACTGTCTGTCACCCTGTTCTCATTAAGAAACTGGGGGACTGGTGT